TATTCGTCCAGTGCTTAGGAGTCTGCAAATATGATTTGACTTTTGAAAGAGTTTCAGATAATTTACTTGCAAAATAAAGGGGGTTTCTTGCTTAAAATAAAGTTGATCCTGTGACATTTTACATTTATTTTTGCCAGAATTAAATGATTCCTGCATTTTTTTGGGTGCTAAAGCCATGTCCTATCCCATTTTATGTCAAGAAAAACAGTCAGTTCTTAATTATGCTTGTGCTATGGTGGCCATGAAGGGACAAATCCTTCTCCCAATAAAGTCAATGGGAGTTTTGCTTATGACTTCACTAGAGCCAAGAACAGGGCCTAATGGGTACATCCCCTTCTATTTTTACTTTTATTTGCCTTACGCAGATAGCCCACAACAACTTTTATTATTATTACTTATAGTAATACTTAGCACTTACTGACATAGGGAATTGCCATATCTATCCTGCCTCTGACAGTGGCCCGTACCAGATGCTTCAGTGGAAGGTGTAAGTGCTTGTGTGAGAGCTGCCGTTTTGGCAGATACACGAAGGTTTGTACTGGGGACCACCAGAGTTAAAAGCATGAGTTGCTACAGCTTTTACTCATATCCTCTGTGTATTGGCACAGTGGGAGACCTGTTATACACAGGTTTCCAATGGGTTTCATGTGTATAGTGCTTTTCATCATCCAAGCATTTAACAAACTGTATGATAATCTCATTTACCTTTTGTTCAGACAAACCATTCAACCCAAAAGAAAACTAATAGCAGATTAAGTTTGTTATTATTATTATAATTTTTAATGATTTTGAGATCAAAATGTTATTTACCTTCTCATATGATCAGTTGATCTTTATCCCAAATCCACTTTAGTTCCATACTTGTTTCTGCAAGAGATTAAATAAAAAACATCTTTGCCTATGTTCCCCATTAGCAAGATAAACATGCCTTCTCTTTCATTCTTTTCAGGATATATGATGAAATACTGAATAAAAATACTTTTTCTAAATACATTCACATTTATAATAGCACCTTTCATCTTCAAATATTAACTTATTAATCTTTGCAGCACCCTCCTTTGTGTGAGGTAGGGATATTTCTGCCCCCATTTCAAAGATGGAAAACTGGAGCTAGAAAAGTTATGACTAGAGCTGACTGGGAATTTTTTGACAAACCATCTTTTTGTTGTCAAAAAATGCCAGTTGGTCAAAACTGAAATTCTTCATGAAAGGGGTTGATTTTGATGAATTTGCTAACTCAAAAAAGAGTAAAGAAAAAAGATTTGAAGTTGTTGAAACACAATTTTTCAGTTTTCTAGTTTGAAATGACCTGTTGTTTAGAAACTTAAGCTAAGAGGCTAAAAGTTTTTTTTATTGTTTTGTTTTTTTAAGAGAGAGATCTCACAATCGAAATGAAATGTTACAGAATTATTTTGACAAAATGTTTCGATTGACTTGATCCCAAAAAATCTGTTCATTTGGTTTGTCAATATTTTCAAAATTTAGACTTTTCATCCTGATTCAAACTCTTGAAAATATTCACTGAATAGGAATCCTATTTCCCACCCAGCTCTAGTGCAGACTTTACCTGAAACCATAGAGGGGGTGAAAGCCTAGATTAGAATGCAGGACTCTGGTTCCCACCTGAGTGTTGAGACTCCTAAGCAACAACTCTCTCCTTGTAGAAGTACAATGTTTCCAAATTGAGTTTTCAATTAAATTTTTAGTTGAAAAATGATTTAGCTGATTGACTGTTTTATTGAAAATTTGATTTTTGACAGAGAAGGGCCCTGAAAATTTTCAACACAGATTATTTGTAAAAAATTCTGACGGGTTTGACTAATAATAGAGCTGGTTGAAATTTTTCGACTGTTGAAACATTTTGTCAAAAATTTGAAAAACCAATTAAACATTTTGAAATGTTCCTATGTAATTTTTTACTACTTTTTCTACCAGTTCTACTCCCTCTATACTTCTCATGTGATTTTTTCCTGTGTTGGTATATATGGATATATTTGGTAGCCTCTATCATATGCTTGCACTCTAAGATACAAATTTAATTTGGCATTCTCTGTGTAAGAATAAGTAATCTGTTATCTGAAAAAGCATTTGTTAGTGGATCAGATACAGATAAATTGCTTCAAGGTTTGGATTGTGTTTTGTTTTTCTTGAATGAAAAAATCTGCATTTTTACAATGGAAGCATTTTATTCTTTAAAATCTAAAATGGTTGTGGCATTGTTTGAAAATCAGTTCCTGTTAATGGGCACTAACTTCTTTCCTAATATTTCATAGCTCTCTGGATTAACATTGTAACAGATGTAACCTATTCATAAATCTTGGTATACAAGCTGTGTATTTAATAACGGCTCTTTATAAGCTGTACTACTCATTTATTAATGTGGTCTCACAAATTTCTGTTCATATTTCAATGCTATTGATTGATAATGAATCCTCATAATAGTGCTACCAGAATGGAATATGGTGTTTCAAAATTTGAATCTAGTAAGAGTGATCACTGGACTACCACATATCCAACAAAATGTTGCTTCTTCCTACAAAATTTAACTAGTAAATAACTGTTCGTTCGCTCAGTGCAAAACAGGGAAGGAACTTTAACAATAACGTATGTGAGTGTGTAGTAGACAGTGGTGTCAGAATACTCAAATTAGTAGTACAGGACTGTACAGAGCCCTAATTTAAGTTTTCTGTCACATCTTTTATCCGTCTTGGTAAATGTTTTAACAAAGTTCCTTCCCTGCTTTGCATTGAGTGTACAAAAAGTTATTTGCTAGTCAAATGTTGTAGGTAGAAGCAACCTTTTGTTGGATCTTAGATGGGAGTTAGCTGGGAGTTTCCAGCTGGTAGGGGCAGAAGCAGCTAAAGCAGAGACTGCTTCACTTGGGGGGGCGGGGAGGTTGGAGGGGCAAAAAGGGATCCAGCCAGGGTCAACCCTCTCCCCAGCATTTTGCTGGACTCAGAACTGTGCAGGAGAGACACCCTCCTCCCCCATGCTGGGGGCTCTAGGAATCATACCATGCCTCCCTACGTCTTTCTCACACCCTTCCCTCCCTCTCTCTCCCAACCATGTGTGCTTGGTAGTAAGCTTCAGAGAGGAGCCCGCTAGAGTTTCCATCTGGTAAGGGCAGAAGCAGGCAAAGCAAGGGCTGTTGGTTCTTAGAAACCTTTCTGTAGTTTTGACTGGAGTTTTCTTCTTCTTCGAGTGCTTGCTCATGTCGATTCTTTTCTAGGTGTGTGGGTGCCCACGTGCATGGGTTGTTGGAGTTTTTTGCCTTAGCGGTATATGTAGGGTTGGCTGTGGTGCTCTTTTGAGTGCCGCTCCCATGCGTCGGAATATTAGGCACTGCCAGCCCTACGCCTTCTCAGTTCCTTCTTATCACCCGTGATGGTTGGTCGGAGTGCCTTGTCTTGCAGTCTTGCAGTTCTTAATAGCCCTTTGTTTATCTTCTTTGTATATAGTTCTTAGGTACTTATTTAGCCATTAGATTAAGTGTTAGTTTAGTAGAGTCCTGGCTGGGACTTCGCCCAGGAGTGGGGTATGCCCCGTTCCCTGGGCTTCAAAATGTGTTCGTCATGCAACTGGCCGATGCCTGTTAGTGGACCACCTCCGCAGCTGTTTAAACTGCTTGGGGGAGTCCCATATAAAGGATAATTGGAGGATTTGCAAGAGCTTTCCCTCCAGAACCCAGAAGGAGCGGGATATCTGCTTGAGGTCCCTCCTCATGGAGGCCGTGCTTCATCTGGCGTCAGAACCCTCCCAGTTGGACTCCACAATTCATGGTGCTACCCTTCGGTCTCTCGTCAGCCCCAAGAGTGTTTACAAAGTGCATGGCATCAGTGGCTGCTTACCCGAGGCGTCGGGCTGTTCAAATTTACCCGTACCTCAACAACTTGCTAATCAAGGGCCGGTCCTGGGATCAGGTGCGGAGGCACCTTGATCTGGTTGGCTCCACCTGTCATGATCTGGGGCTGTTGATAAACAAGAAAAAATTGGCACGCAGCTCCATCTCAGGCCCCTATAGGCATAGCTGGCATCGGTCTACGGTTCCAACAGACACAATGTTAACCGTGTAGTCAGGGTACTATCATCACTCACGTGGTGGAGAAATCCCATATCGGTGGAGGAGGGAGTTTCCTTTGCGGCCCCATCCCCATAGGTTATCCTAGTCTCCGATGTCTCGGATCTGGGGTGAGGAGCCCACCTGGGCGATCTCAGCACGCAAAGTCATTGGTCGAGGTCACAAGGTCACAATTGCTCCCTACGCATAAATGTCAGAGAGCTCAGAGTGGTATGCTTGGCCTGCCAAGCCTTCCTGCCTCATATAAAAGCAGAGTGGTTCAGGTCCTGATGGATAATACCACCA